CCACATACTATTCTTGTCAAACAGAGTATAGAAAATTGCAGCAATGAAAAGAAAAATGGAACAAAGCATAAGTTTATAGGGAAAAAAGCAGAACAATCTGAAATAATATGTACCTGCACAATGGATAAAAGAGAATCGATTCCATCCAATGTAGAAGCACGCACAGGGACACCAATAACGGGCAAAGGAGTGAGGGCAGCCACCATGCCTGCAAAACTCAAGCAGCAGTTCAGTTAACCCCATATAATGTATGCTGCACTAGACAAATTTGTTTGAAGCATAGTTTATATGACTCACCTGGCAAGTGAGCTGCACCACCAGCACCAGCAATGATGACCTGAATGCCTCTCTCCCGAGCAGACAAGGCATAAGAATACATCAATTCAGGAGTTCGATGTGCTGAAACTATTCTCACCTGGAAATTATATCACATTAACATCATATGGTACCAAAAGGCATAGCTCACAACAAACAGGTGATCAATTGACAGCGAACAGTAACATGTGAAAAGCAAACCTCATTAGGTACTTCAAACATATTCAAAATCTTTGCAGCATCTTTCATAACAGGAAGATCTGAATCAGAGCCCATTATGATACCAACACGCGGTATGACTGCATTTGTAAAAAAGAAGCAAAATGAAGGTGATTGGAAGATTAAAAAAGTTTATTCTGATTAAAAAATTGCTAAGACCATTACAGTACAATGAAATGAAAATGGAACCTATGCAGTTTGGTTTATGAAGGGGTGCAGCTACAGGCACAAGGAAAGGAAGGGAATCACCACAAGATATAAAAGGTTAATATTGTTGATAGCATGGTTGACTTGCCTTTCTTTCCCCAGACTTCTTAACAAAATTCAACCATTTTCATTCCCCTTGTACTCTTCCAATTTTACAGTAAATTTTCCACAACAATGATTCGTAATTTATGAAATTTACTGGTACATATAATAGTGAAGCCAGCTAAGGTTAATACGTATAACCATATAACCATATAGGACCTGCAACCTCAGAATAATCATGTGAAACCACCCTACTACAACTACCTGCAGACTGCCTATCGAATCTTTCTTCATTTAGCATCGACTCTAGAAGCTTTTCGACATTGCCCAGGGAAGGTCCAACAATGGTGATATGACCCATCTTCCGCTGCTTCCGCATTTCTGCCACATCATAAAAATATAGGTGATTCTTGAGTATGACTCAGAAATAAGCAAGATGTTGTAATATGAACATAAGCAGAATCTAACCTGGCTTATCATACCAATGAACAGTGGCCCCTGGAATATGCAATGCCCTTCCAATCAGCTGCTGAGCTAGAAGGAAACCAGGTTCCCCCTGAAAACATAAAAGAGGCATGACAGCCATCAGCATTTGATTAAGTGATTTATCTTCCACGAGCATAGTGAAAACTATACCTTTTTTAGAACTAAAATCAGAAGATAAATGCTGACAGATGGTGATCACCACAGTAATGAATTGAATCTCACCTCATCTTCACCAAGTAAATTGTACATAATCGCAGCTGGAGTTTTCATCGATGGATCACCAAGTGGAAGACCAACAACAGCCCTCAAATGCTGTTCATACTGTGAAGTGTGGCAAGACTCTATTGTGTGATGACCACTATTGTGAGGTCTAGGAGCTACTTCATTTAGCAAAATCTGACAAGAAGCAAGTACATTCACAACTTAGTTAAATGCAGCAGACTTTTAAAAGAGAACTAAAATACGTCAACCAATCGATCACGAATAAATAACCATAACAAAAAGTTGTTAAAAGAGGTAGAATTGTTACCTGATCATCCTTTGTTAAAAACAACTCAACTGCAAAGACACCAGCACCTTCTAATGAACGAACAGCTCTGGTTGCAATATCAGTGGCCAGCTTTCTGATCTTCCATGACATGTTAGCAGGTGCCTTTACAATGTGACAAATGTTTTCCCTGCAGAAATGATCCCCAAACATGCATGAACTCATCCGGCGTTATGTGGATATTATCGTCTAAATAAACAGATATGAGAAAATTAAGATCAAAGATTGGCTGGTGACAGACAATTCAAAATTTAATCTGCAGCTTACTTGTGTATTGTTTCAACAACAGGGTAGCACGCGATAGAATTGTCTCTTCCTCTTGCGACAATAACAGCCAGCTCCTGCAGTTACATTGCCAAAAATGTAAGGGAAGTTTCTTATGAACTCACTCAGAAGCATTTGTGTTTTGTTGGGGATTAATATGTGGTAATGTAAATCATCAAACAATGCTCATTGTCTCAAAGTAACATCTAGAGACCAACCTTTACAAATGGGGCCCATTTCTCAACATACAAGCCACGATCAAACCCTCCAAGAGCTGCAACAAAGTTCGAACTATAAAAACTGCATAGGCTTAACTAGTTGAATCAACTTCAATCACAATCCGTTTTGATGAACATATTACCAGTCACAGCAGACGAAAGCTCATCCTTACTCTTAGCAACAGCATTTCCACGTCCATCGTAAGCTAACCTTTTACTTTTTATCATAAGAGGATAGCCAAAGAGGTCCCCTGCTCTCTTGGCACCTTCAAGATCATCTATCTGCCTTAGCCACATTTTACAGTAAATAATATATAATCTTGCGCTCTCTAATAGAAAGCAAATTTACAAAAATCACTTATGCTAATACTTCAATCAGATGGAGAAATGAGTAACAAACCTGCATGAATTCAGGAAGGGGAATATCATGCTTCAAAAAATGAACCTTTTGGAGATACTTATCCTGTTACATTCAAAACACGAGCCAATACTTAACACACTACACAAGAACAATGCAGTGATACATGGAATGTCGCAACACGTCAATACAAGGGTAAAATTTTATGCCTACAATGTGAATGTTCCTTGGGACGAATGAAACTCTGTACATAAAACAATCTGTCCAAATGGATGAATGTTTGTAGCATACTAACTTTCACATGCACTGACGGGGTAATAAAAATTAAAAAGCGATCTCGAAAGGAATACACAAACCTGAATTATTCTGATTGTAGAGGCTTTGGGTTGGCAATCCACTCCTTGCTGCTCAAGCTTCTCCAAAGTCTCCACATCCACATGCTCAATTTCCACAGTCAGCACTCCACACCTAACTACCACGATTACGATTACCCTCCATACATAACATTTCCAACTACACAAAATAGAAAAACATAAAATTGGATTACAAGAACATAAAATCTTCACCTCTTTGCGAATTCCTGGACCGTTGCACTATCATCGAAGCTTCCAACCATATGATGATGGGCAATCTCACTAGCCGGGCAGTTCTCTTGTGGGTCCAATACCATCACTTTAATCGCCATTTGCGAAGCTGCTTGGCAGAGCATCCGACCCAGTTGGCCTCCTCCAAGAACACCAACAATCACATCCGCAACGCCATGGAACGCTGCATCATCTTTCCTGCACAACAAAAAAAGCAAATTCTACACATTTATTCGAACACTCTTCCAATTTACTTAAAAATCGTTGCTTTACATAACTTGAAACGAATTCCGGGAAACGAACATTTACCCAGAAGTCACTTGAGGGTCACGTGATGCTCGGCAGGCAAGGACCGGATTGCGCTTCGTTTGGAAGCGCTGCTTGAGCGAGAGAGAAGAAGAAGCAGAAGTGAAAAGCAGCTTGTGCTTTTCCATGGAGCAGGAGAATGCGTTTTTGGTTTTCGTCGAGGCCAAACACGGCCTAAACTCGAAATCCGGCGACGCGAAGAGGGAGTCACAGCAGCTAGAGCTCTGCTGAAGCATTTTAGAGGGAGTAAACCGAAGCCCCACGGCGGCGCTTTCTCGTTCTTGCTCCCTCCAAATTAGGGATGAATACCCACTACAACTACTCTCTGTTTGCCCCTACGAATAAAAGAATCTTGAAAATTAGAGCACTAACCACTTCTCCCTTCTGCGGGGTAGGAAGGTCTTGACGGCTCTGAAGGTTTCTGGGTTCTCTCTTCTGCGGGTAGGAAGATGAAGGTGGCTAGGTTTTTTACCTTTAATTAGATTATAATCTAATTTATTCACAATGAATCAATAAGGCATATTTTAACTCTTTACTTTAATTAAATAAATAAAAATATCTAATAAAAATGTTTTTTAAACATAAATATAAGATAAAATAAAATAAACAAGGGCAATTTAGTAATCATATTGATATGTATTTCGATTCAGCTGAATTAGTAAACAATTTATATGAATTCAGTTTCATTCCTATTCCGATTCCTAAACATTTAAGTAAACAACTTGAACAGGAATCTGATTCTGACTTCTCTTTGTTTCAATTCATCATCAATCTAATTTCTCATATTTTGATTACGGTTACGTAATCGAGTCATAAGGTGGTAAAGTGCGACCCCACCTCTAGGACTTTTACTTGAAAGGTAATGCAACGGTCAATTTAAAATTATATTTTGTAAATCATATCATCCTTTTTAACTTAAAGAATAATGACAGGAGATTGTTAATTTAAATTATATTTCGCAAATTATATGACATGGTTGTTTATGTATTTTAAAAGTTGAAGGGCCTATTATACCATACAAAGTTCCTTATTCTAATACATTATTTCCAAGAAAGCAGCCAAGTATTATCCATATTCAATTAAAATTTAATTCCTCAACCCCTTTAGCAACGATACTATCGTTTGTTAAAAAAAAAAATTTAATTGATTCTCGGTGTGAATTTTATTAATTTAAGTTGACTTCTATTGACTCCGGATAGACTTTAAATGAAAATTTTATATGAAGATGAATAAAATGGCAAATTGAAGTCAACAAGACTCCCAACTTTGCGATGAACATCTATCGTACTTAGTCTTATATTTGGTGTGCAAAGAGACTATTTTCAAAGCCCGAACCTTGACCTTTTGATTACAAATGAGCAACTTCAACGTTACATCAAGACTCGCCCCCCTCCCTACATGAAGATGAAGATGAATATGAAAAAAATAAACTAAGAGGTTTGCACAAAACGAAATGACATCAATCTTTTTATTGATACTTCACAGTTTTACACACAAGAATCAACCGTTTTACATTTAAATTACTCATCCACTCCATATAAAACCAAAAAAAGGTGAAAAAAATAAAAACCAAAAAACAAAAAGAAGAAAAATAAAATAAACCCACTCAAACTCTAATTAGTAAAAATAATAAAATTTAAAATGAAAAGCTCACCAAAACTACATATTTCCAAGGTAAAATGTGAAATATGTCAGACCCAAAATGAGAAATGTTTTAGTGTGCCGGGAACATGTTCAGTAAACCAATTGTAAAAAAAAATTATATATATATAATTTTTTTTTTTTAATTTCCAACTAATTGTATTATTATACTTGGTGTACCAACTCATTTCCGGCACACAGAAAAATCTATCCACAAATGGTGGGGAAAGGGAGAAAAACGACCAACTGTATAGTATTAAGGGAGGGACTCAACTCCTATCATATTCTTTTTGCCGACTGTAGAGAGGAAAAAAAACTATATTACTGTACACCTGATATGCCAAATCTTCGAGGGTAGTGATTTATTTTGTGCTTCTCCCGTTTCTTTTGTCCCTCGATTGTTCTTCGATTTATTCACTCCAAAGACTAGACAAACAGAGGAGTGAAAACTACTAGCCACCTTCTGATTTCTCGAAGATCATGTCCTTTAAACACGCCACCTGACATAGAACAATGTACATATTAGGGAAAAGGGAAAAACTTTCTAAATTTATTCGAGACGAACGTAACGCAATACTTGTGTTATCCATGCATTATGTTTCTACTATCCTCGTGATTCTGTAAATTGAAACGAAACAGCTATTAACAGACCTAGCTATGTACTCGGAAGAGATATAAGATACGCAGGCAAGACTAGGACGTGCTTTTAAAATAGCTAAAAACGTTTTTGGTGAAAATGTTTTCGTAAAAATGCAAGTGAATCTTGAAAAAAGCACTTGAAGTAATTCCTTCAAGTGTTTTTGGAACCCATAAACATTTTCTCTAAAAACGCTTTCAGTCATTTTAAAAGCACTAAACAAGCCCTACGATGTTTGAATAAGGTACTCACCTTTTGTTATGGCGCTACAGACTCAAGCTGATGTTTGATCTCTTCTTATCCCGATTTTTCGTAATTCCCCCAGGTAAGAAGCTATATCTTGAATGAACGTCAGTCCCTCCTCACCGTATCTAAGCGAGTTAATCGTGTGTTCAAGAAACTCTCGGTCCGCCTCGAGTGTCTTCAACCTCTTAAGCACATTGGAACTCAGGACCCGGAGAGAAGCTAAATCTGTCACTTGACAGAGATCTGCAGAGTTTGGCCCGCTGCTATGAAATTCACACTGTCCCTTGCCATTTGACAGAGGGTTTTCAAGTGCAGTATGTCCCGACGATGATACAGACACTTCATGTTGCACTGGCAGGTCATTCTCTCGTTTTGCAACAGCTTCTTGGGAGCCTCCATTTTCAGAACAATCACCTTCGGACGAATCCGAGTTTACCCCATTGGTAGAGAACAAAGAAAGTGACTTCTCTAAAATCTCTAGATATTGTAAGATTTGTTTCTTCTCATCTTCGAAATCCAAAAGTGAAGTTTTTACACTACCACCATCCTCATCACTAAAAGTCGTCGCGGCTCCTTCAACTTTGCTGTGCGTATGAGGCTTTCCATAATCCACGTGTTTATGTACACTTGAACTGTGTTCCATGTTGCTTGATTCGGAATGATCGACCCCAATATCCCTTGCCTGAATATCACCAGTTGTCTCTGCTAGATTAGCGAGCATCGATTCATTGGGATACTTAATCCTATACAATTCCAGTTCCGCTTCTAGATCTTGTATCTCCTTCTCTTTCTCGACAAGAAGGTCTTCTGTCTTTTGCAGCGCTTCATTATCATACTCGGCTTGCTCTTCTATCATTCTTAGCTGCTGGAGTGCTTCCATATGGAGCGCTGCTTTCTCCTCTTGCAGTCTTGTAATCATCGCCATTGCTTGATCTGAAGCAATTGCAGAAGCATTTCTTTCTTCCTCCAACTCCTTATACAAAGCGCTCATAATTTTCTTGTCATGCTCAACCTGCCGCTTTAATCGATCAGCAATACTCTCACCCTCAATTTCACTGACAACGCTCCCGTCTAGAGACAGCCCAGACTCATTTCTTTCAAGTGAGATCCTCTTGCTAAGTATCTGCATTCCAAAAGAATTGGAAGTATCGGAAGCTTTCAAATCACCACTATTTGCAGACAATCTCGGACTCATTACACTTCCACTGTTTGCAGACAATCTCGGACTCATTGCCCTTCCACCATTTGCAGACAATCTCGGACTCATTGTGCTTGTTGATTGCTCAAGCCCTCGATTAGCAGACAATTGTGACAGCAAGAGCTTCAAATCTTCGCTAGCTTTTGAAGAGTCCTTCCCAATCCATTTTTCTGCAACCCCACCAGACAAATGCTTTCCTTTACTAACAACAACAAGCTTATAAGCATCACCAAGATCTAGAACATTGGTTACTTGCACATCAGCGTTGCTTGAAACGGGGTTTGTTTCCACACCTGTTTCAGATGTTGTACGTGGCCTGACTTCTTCCTTGCACAATTCCCCAGATTCCACCACAGATGTTTGATCAATTTCACGAGTTCCAGTAACATCACCTGAGAGAAACCACCACAGACAAGATTGATGATTGTGAAGTTAACTTACTGCAGTAAACAATGGGTGCTTAATGCACAAGCATTTCATACAAGAAGCAATAAGATGTTGAATTCAAAGAGGAAAAAATTAACGAAATCAAGACAATGCGGAACAGAGGAAACTGAAAAAAGTTCGAACTCACTTCTTTGTTTTGACACTTCAATTGGGGGTTTCATTGCATTTGATGATGGAGTGGGACTGTCAACAACGGGTCCAGTTGACGCAGGGACATCAGCCTTGCTCTCAACTTGTTGCCAGTTAAGTTCCTCCAGTCCATTGGAAATAGCTAAAGTAGATGCTACAGATGTACTATCATGTGACATAAGATCAACTTGTACCTCTGACACCAAAACTGGAGGCTCAGGAGCAGATGCTGGATCTCTCGAAGCTGGAGCAATAACGCGAGGCTCAACATATTGAGATAAATCTTTCTTGCAATCGTGGCTTTCAGGAATCAAAGCACTTGCATCATCATCATCATCAGAATAATGAACTTCCGATTCAGTATCAGAATTAACCTTGAGCTCGGTATATCCAACATGAGATAAAGGGTGAAGCCCGCTGTCTCGAATATGAGTGGTTCTCACTGACATAGATGGTTCATCTTGTTTCCTCAGTTCTTTATGATTACGTTCAATAACATGAGAGACGGGCATATCAAGTTCAGCCTCAGATTCTAAAATCTTTTTCTGAATCAACTTTTGAGAATCCCCCCGAGAAATCCACGGCTGATTGCAACAAGAACAAAACGTTCTGCTTGAAGAGCAAGGATTATGACCCCGGAGTATTGGGTCCTGATCGACATCAAATTTAGGATCGTCCCCCAACTTACCCACCAGTAATCTGTATGTCTCAGCATTGGATCTATTAATTGTTGCAAATGAGAAGAGGCAACTCTCACACATTCCATGAACATCTACAAGTTTATTGTGAGCACGGCAAAGAACTAACGAAGAAATCTCTGACTTATGATTGCCGCAGAACAGGTCCCAATGATAACCAAGTTTTTCCTTGCCCAAAACATGGTCAATTCTTGAACACAGCAGGCAAGGCGCTTGCAATCCACAGTAATAAGCAAACTTCGTAATTATGTATGAGAATATGGCGTCAACAAACAGCACAAAAATTAGCAGCCATTCAAAAAAAGCATATACCAAAGCTTTAGACCAATCCTGGGGGGCTTTCTGCGACAATGCAGATGAAGTCCCCGAGGCAGCCATGTGCTCGAATAGGAAACACTCCAGTGCTTCAAATGTGAATCAGTAATCCAAGGTGAAATTCAGTAACGTTTCTTGCAGCAGACAAGGAAGATACGGGAGATTCAGAACAATCAACGAAACAGCTTACTTAACACCGGAATCTAGGCCTGCATTACAACTTCCGTTAGCTGAGAGAGCACCACAGAACAATCTAAACATAACAAAATGATCCCGAAATTTACATTGATCGAAAATAATTCTGAAAAGGAAACATCTTAACCCGAAAACAGAAAAGGCAAGTAAGTGACATGCATAGACAAAACATTCCTATGAAACGCAACCTCATTTCTCACAGAAAACCCCCTTTCTCATCGAAAACCAGAAAGCGAAAGAATCAATCAAATGCAGATTAAACCAATGCTAATGACCCCAAATCTTATTTCTCAACAGGATCAAAACCCACTTAATCCAAAGCTTAAATTTCCATCAAAACCAGAAACCTTTGAGGGTCAACGCCTTAAAAAGCACAAATTCATAGCAACAGATAGTAACCAATTAATCCCAGAAGATCAAACAAAAAATCTGAAACAACCAATATCCAAAATTGCAGATACAATTTTACCAAAAACAAAGATTCTAAGAAATTAAAAAAAAATAAAATTAGAAATTAAATTTCAACACTTGAAACACCAATACCCCATCAGAAGGTTTAACAGCCTGATTCAATCTAATTAAGCAGACTTGACTTTACACAACAGAAACTCGATTCACATAAAGAATCAATATTTAACCAAAACCCAATTCAATCAGCAACAAAAATTTCAGATCATATCATTTACAATTCGAAAAGTTGACTAAAATGATCAGAAATCAAATCGCAATTAGTCATGATCAAAATCAAATAATATACAGATTTAAATATTTACGACATGACGATCAAATAACGACATATATCAATGTAGCAAACGGGATCAGATAACTACGAAATTAGAAACTGACCTGTTCATGTGGTGGAGCCAAAGAAAGAAGTGGAATGAGTGAATTTTTCAGAACGAATGACAAAAACAAAAACAACAAACGAGTAAATGGGTTTCGTGGGAGAGTTTCCGAGAGACAGACAACAACGAAAGACCAACCGAAAGATTGAAGCTTTACAACATCAGAGGACGCACGTTGCCGTCTCACATTGATAGAATTCAAAAGTTGGGAGTTGAAATAAGAGCCGACTGACAGACTCCAAAAAGTCGGCTGCAGATAAAGCAGAAAACGACACAGTACCGAAAGTGCCCACTATAAAAAAGAAAAAACAAGATTTGATAGGCTGTTGGATCAACAGCCAGGATTTTCCCACCAAAAAAAAATATGAACAGCAAAGATTCCCGGGAGAAAAAAAATTTCTTAGAAGAGAAGAAAACGTGGATTAGAGAAGATGCGCAAAGCTACTCTTATTATATATATATATATTTTTTTTTTTTTAAATCACATTTGTATCAGTTTTTTTAATAAAGATGGGTCCATCAACACATGTTGTATAAAAAATGTGATAAGAGCAGCATTGTCAGGAAAAAATTGGAGGGGATAAAATCAGTAAAATTGGAAAACCAGAATTGTAGCAAGAATTGAGGCCACGGATTGAAATTTTGTAGGGTTAAAATGTCCTACATCGATCGTATCAATGACAAACAAAGAGTTTAAATACCCTAATCTCACTCCAATTAATATCGAGACTTTTTGTGATAAAACTTCATACCTAAAGGATTGTGCACTTGGTAATTACCAAGTTGAGAACAATATTGGTATTCTTGGAAGTGAGCCGTATGACCCATCTCTCTAATAATTCTACATGGTATCAGAGTGGGCCCGTACAGTACTGCCACTTAATGGGTGGGTCTTCTACATGTACAAGGCTGCTTAGTTCGGTTAGCACATAAAATTAGATTGGTTAGACAATTTTTATGTTGAGAAAATTGTGGGTATGATCCCTAAACTTAAAATTCATGATCATTGATCATTTAACTCCCCAAAACATGCAGCTATGATCCTTTTTATCAACTCCGTTAAAACTTTTATCACAATGAGCTATGTGCCACTCACATGAGGCTGAATCAAGAGGCAAATATTGAAAATTAAATGAAAAATTGTATAAATGGTATTTCAACTTTATCCTAATTGGAGAAATAGTCCCTCAACTTTAATTCAACTGGAGCAATGGTTCCTGAATTTTAACCCAATTGCAGAAATGATTCTTCAAACATGACTCGTTTTTTTACGAAAGTCTTAATGGAGTTGACGAAAATGACCATAACTACACGTTTTGATGAGTTTAAGGGACAAATAGTCATAAATTTTTAGTTGATGGACCATTGCTATAATTGGGTTAAAGTTGAAGGATCATTGCTCCAATTGGTTTAAAGTTGAGAACCATTGCTACAATTTTCTCTTTTATGTTTTAACTTTTAAGGGATTTTGGAGGAAGAAATTGAGTGTTATGTTTTGGTACGAAATAGTTTTGTTAATACTTGTTGGGAATTGTTTTTTAAAGAAACATTTTTGTTCACAAACTGTTTTGCTAGAAGAAACATGTTGAAATTGTAATAAATATCTAAAATTTCTCGAGAAAACACTTCTATAATCCAAAACAATTTCAAGTTTCGTTTATAAGTGCTTATTTAAAATGTACAAAATGCACATTCAAATGGTTTCAGGGGAAGATTTAGCGTGCAAATGAAGATGCCAAATTATAGTGAAACTGTTGTATGCAGAAAAAGTGCTTCAAGCTCAACCAACAAGAAGAACAAGAAGTAGCGGATAGAGGAATGCATCTCAAAACCATAGGAAGGATTAGAAATGAACTGCATAATCATTACAAACGTAAATAAGATTGAGAGAGAAGCTGCATCTTGGAAAAATACTCATGTTTCTAGTGATGTATTCTCGCCTACAATGACGTTATTACGAACCATTTGACATTTATATTCTTCAAACTTATCAAAATACAAAGATCAATGCTCCAATTTTTTAAGAAGTTTAAAGACCAATTTGATTTGAGACGGAAAAAAGAGTGGTGCTATTCACCAAGGTTCTAAAAGACGTTAGACGTTAGTCGGGCGGCAAGTTGGGGCTTAGCGCCTAGGCAAGATCTAAGTGGGCGCCTAGGCGGACTACGTAGATTTAACTAAATCCATTATATTTCATGTAAATAAGTGTATGTTTATACTTAAAATATATATAATTTCATCATAAACTACAAAATAGAAGGACACATATATTATGAAATATTGGAACATAATGAAAACATGGGGAACAAACATATAATGTGTGCTCATTTAAGTATTCAACAAGTCTCTTACAATTTATTGAAAAAAATAAAATGTAAAATGAAGGTTTTTTTTTTTTTGCCTAAGTGAGTTGCAACTTAGGCGGGTGCATAAGTGGTCTAGGCGGGCGCCTCAGCAAGTCAAGGCACTCTTTCTTAATTTTCAAAAGCCTAGACGTTAATCGGGATGGTGGCTAGCCGCTTAGAGCTTAGGCGGCGTTAAGCGGTGATTTTTAGAACAATACTATTCACATACTTATTTTTATATGTTACATTTTTTATTTATTTATCAATTTCTGTCTTTTGATCATGTTTAGTTTATTCGACCCGATGATCAAAACTTAAAAAGTGTCTAAAAGGTAAAAATGAGTGTGCCGATTTATTTCACCACCAAAAAAAATTTATCTTTTACGTTAAGGTGAGAGGAAGTCGGCTAAACCACACAATATGCAACCTAATTTGTTACCGAATTCGTCATCCATAAAATTCAAACATAAGATCTCGTACTAACAAGTAAAGAGAAATACCAGTACTGAATGGTGCGACACATGTACAAATTTATCTGGCCATACATGTGATTTGATAAATCATATCAATGATGTTTTTAGGTGTTTATATTGAGTACGTGTTCTTCCTGCAAATTTGTATCACGAGTCCACTAGGCCACAACTACTTTACTTTTGTCGTGTGTGCGCCTTTTGCCATTCCATGTAAGGCAAAGCCAATATAAACCAAGTAGGGCAAAACAGGAATTCGAAAAAACCATTCCCAATTTCTTTGACCTAAATACCCCCTTTTTTCTCAAAGCCCCTCATACCTGTATTTCCCTTCTCAATCCTAAACATACACTGCCTCTTCTGCCCCTGTAATTCCCAATCTCTCTTCCTCTCCTTCTTGCCCTTCACGATTTTCTCCACAATTTACCCGCCAATTTCCTTCCGCTCCGTCTTTTCAAATTGTCGTTGTTTTTTGCCCCTTTTTTCTTCTGCACTCTCTGTTTCTCTTCTTCCTGCAATTCCAAGACCTCGACTTTCGAGTTGGATCGCCTTCTGTAGCTTCGGGATTTCGATTCTTGGTGTTTTGAGTAAAACCCAGTTCGTCTTTTTGTTGATTTGATCGATTTTGAAGATGAGCTTGTGAATTTAATTGGCTGGAGCTAGGGTTTCGATAATTTCAGGTACCTTTTTACTTGATTTACACTGTTGAGAGCTTTTATTCTGTGGGCTTTCTTTGATGGGTCTGTGTTGTTTGGAGTTTATTTTAATTTTTGAAAGTTGATTAATATTTGAAAGTTTAATGAATATGATCGTTTATTTCTTGAGTGGCATTTTAATGGTTGTGTTATTTTGTGTTAAATTAGCTTGTTTTGCTGTTAATTTGGGATTAACGATTGGTCTTGTTGAAAGATTATTGCTTTGGCTTCAATGTCCATGATGATTTGTGAATGAGATAAATATGTTGATTCTGTGGTTACTGTTCTTGTATGAAGTAAGAGTTACTGAATTAGAGTGCTCTTGCTTGGTGGCTGGGAAAGTGTTTCAAAGCAAGGGGGAGTTCAATTATAGATTTTTTGATTATTTTATGTTTCGGTTTGAAGAATGCAAGCTTGGTTTATATAATGTCCGGGGTATAGGTGAGACACCCGAGTGACACTTGTGCTGTAAGGGATTTAGAATGTGAAAGGCTTCGTTAGACTTTTCGATTTCATTTGTTTTTATACTGTTCTCAGCAGAAGCAGATGAGATACTTGGTTTGTTTGACTGGTTTAGATCTCCAATAGCCACGGTTGTATGTTTTAAATGTGTCGGGGTAAAATGCCGTAGCAATTTTTGGTTTGATGTAAATTTGATATAAGCAGCTGAAAGGTGCGTTGTTCAGTCTGGTATGTTGTGTTCATGAATCTGGCTTGGGTTGTGTGTATATATATATTTTATGGTATTATTATGACACATTGGTGCACTAATGTATAAATTTTTTCTACTTTCTTTGTCTTTTCAATTGCATTGCTTCTGATCACGGTTTAGCCCTTAGGCATTTGTTTGTAGCTGTTGCTTGCTTTGGAGGCATGCAGATTTGAGAAGTGAAAGCATGTGTAGAAATTGCTAGACTGTTTGTCTTGCTAAGTGTGTTTTTCATATTTTCCATATTTTATGTATTATTTTCTTGTGTATGGAGATGTGTGCAGATTCAGAGTTGATGCTTGATGTGATAGAGGCATGTGATTCTTTACTGATCGTAGCTATATTGCTTTGTAGACATGCTTTAGTACAGTTTGAAAGGCAGTGCTTCCAACTATCAATTGGTTGTTTCTTTGGGAGACTGTGGAGCGATTGCCGTCTTTGTTATACTTAATACAGCGGGTTTGACTTCTTTGATGGCTAACCACGATTTGATGCTTGGGCAAAGTCACAACTTAGCGCTTGGGCAGAATCAGCAAGTACTGGGCCACAATCATAACGTAGGCCTTGGGCAAAATCATGATTTTCAGTTGGGACAGTCTAGTGAGCATCATTTGGGTTTGGGACAGGCCCATGACCATGACGTGGGTTTAGGGCATGCTGATCATGAATTGGGTTTAGGACCGAGCCATGACCACGAAGGGGATGATGGTCACAGCTATGGGCATGATAACGAGTTAGGTGTAGATCAGAAACCTAATCATGATGACCATGAAATGGCTCTTCCTACTCAGAACCATAGTATGGTCTTAGAGAACAATGAACTGGCCGTCTCAGAGGGCCAAGAACTTGATGAAAACATGGAACTATCTATGGTTCAAAATAATGAAATGGGGATAGAATCTGCCCATGGTTTGAGTATCCAGGAATCTGATTTTGCACTCAGCCCCAGTCCTGTGATTCAGGCCCGTATGGCGCATGTAAATCCCAATTATGAATTGTCAGTGGGGCAAGAGTTCCCTGATGTCAAGAGCTGCCGGAGGGCGCTAAGGGATACTGCTATTGCTTTACACTTTGAAATGCAGACTATTAAATCTGACAAGACTCGCTTCACTGCCAAATGTGCCACTG